GCTCATAAATGGATCATCTGCAGTGAATGGGTGCCATCAGAATGAGAGTCCAAACAGCTAATAAAAACATCACAGTAATCCACATCACAACTCCAGTCCATCAGTTAACATCTTGTGAAGCAAAAAGTGATTTTAATAAAAAAAATAAATCAAGACATTTAACTTCAAACCGTTGAGTCCTCTAACTATAATATTGCTTTCTTTAGTAAAAAAAAGTTGTCTCATCTGAATCCGGAGAGAAATATGCACAGATAAATCACTGTGTATAAGCGAAAACAGACCAAAAACTTTCTAAACAAATATGTTGGTGGATTTTGATGTTAGAAGACAACAGGGGATGGACCTTTTCACTGGATGAAGCGTTATTATGGATTATGGATGGTTGACTCATATTTTGGATGGTTTGAAGTTAAAAGACCTTAATGGTGGATTTGTTTATTACATACACATAGCTTTTTGCTTCACTTGATGGCCTACAGTTGTGTGGATTATTGTGACGTTTTTATCAGCTGTCTGATTTTTTTTTTTTTTTTTTTTTTTTTTTTTTTAGAACGTATGTACCGTATTGCTGGTTTGTAATTCTGGTCATTCCAATTTTCTTGTGTCGGAAGCTGCTGTTTATAAATAAAACAATAACATATGAGATAGCTTGGCTATTTTAATAAGATTCATGACGTGCTATATTTATTGATCAATTATTTACGATCATATGATCAATCACTTGACAATTAGATCCTTTGAATGCAAAATGCGTGACATGAACCCCTTTATTTATAAAATAGGTCTAGTTATAAATGACTGTCAAATTTTGTAATCAGTGTTATTTTAATATTGCTTATATATTATTATAGTATTTATTAATATTTAGATTTTTTTAATTTTTAAGTAATTTTGTTTTTGTCATTGTTTTTTTATATATTTAACTTTTTTTTTGTTTTAATTTATTTTAGTACTTCAACTTATTTTCAGTAAGTTGACATGACATTTCCCATTTTTTTTGTTTAAGTTTTTCAACTAATAATTATATTTTATTTTGCTTTATTTCAATTAACAAAAAATATTTTTAATAGTTAATAACAACACAATTTGTAGTTTGTGTAAAGTTTTGTAGTTTCTTGCTAAACAAGAGACAAAAAGGACGAAACGTTAGCATAAAAATGATTTATGACCTCTTGGATTCTTACACTATTTATTGTCTAGGAGTAATGATTCAGCCAAAACCATGACATGTATTTTAAATACCACTTGAGATTAAACAAAACCAATGGATCCACCAATATCTCAGTGAAGGAAACATCAGTTTCATCGACATGATAAATATTTCCATTCATGCTTGAAATGGAAACCTTTACAGTAGCATTGATAAAACCTGGGACTTGCAAAAGGCCATAATTCAAATGAGGTGCAAGATTAGTCACTAGAACTAAGCATTTGTTAACTGTATGTATCCCATCATATCACATGAAGACAGCCTGCTTGTCTGTCATTTAGTGATCAAACACTTACAATTTATAAACTGTAAGGGTGATTTCAATGTACCACATAAACAGTGGTTTATACTGGCTTAACTGAACATCAGTTACAGTTTTTTTTTTTTTATATATATATATAAGGGGTTAAATATGAACCAGAACATTTCATCAGGCACTTCAAAGAGATGGTTCTTGCTTGTCAGAGGCACTCATGTTGGATAAAGACCACACATCACTCATCTCTGTTCATGGGAATGTGAAATATGATCAGCGTTATGGTCTTGAAGATTCAGATTAAAGGAATAGTTCACCCAAAAATGAAAATCTACTCACCCTCAGCCCATCCAGAATCCTGATTTGGAGCAATTTAGCATTATATCACTTGCTCACCAATAGATCCTCTGCAGTGAATGGGTGCCGTCAGAATGAGATTACAAACAGCTGGACAAGTAATTCATACCACTACAGTCCATCAATTAATATCTTGTGAAGTGAAAAGCTGTGTGTTTGTAAGACACCATAATTTTAACTTGTAAGTGTCCATAATTTTAATTTAAAACCATTGCTTTTGGCTAATAATCCATAATATTGCCTCTTCCAGTGAAAATGTCATCTCTGAATGAGGAGAGAACTATGCAAAGATTAAGCACCATTTACAAGCAAAAACAGTTCTAAACAAATAAGTGAGAGGACAACAGGGGATGGACTTTTTCACTGTAGGAAGCACTATTATGGATTATGGATTCATATTTTGTCAGGAGCAAAGGTTTAAAGTTAAAATGCCTTAATGATGGAGTTGTTTCTTACAAACACAGCTTTTCACTTCACAAGACTTTAAAGGAACTTTAAAGGGCGTGTCAGAAACGATACGCCCATTGCTATAGTTCCGTATTTTGAATGCTCGATAGAAAATATAAACATCTATTATTTATCATAACTGAGCCATCTTTCAAGTGCAAGAGTTTTGTGAATCCCACATTGAACTCCCGAGATTAGAGAAGCAGTTGTCAGTCAAATGACGGGAACACAAAAAAAGATTGGGGTTGTACTGCTGCGGTTGTACTGCTGGTGTGTTAACCACACACAAGCTACAGTACAGTGTTTGAGGGCGGGTCAAGTTGTTTGAGGCGCGGCCGGTAAACTTAGAACATAGGTGGGCATTATGCAAATGTGTTACCCCGTGACGTGTAGCCGTGGGATTCGAATTACTGATGACTCGTTTAGAGTCGATTCTTTCTTTTGGGAGAATAACTTTATTTATCGTGCACTTTCGGCTTTGCAACTTTGCAGATCGTTTACATTCACATACAGCTACATTACACACTGCCTAAAAGGCAATATTGGAAATGGGGTAATAGGGGCACTTTAATTGATGGACTGGAGTCGTGTGGATTATTGTGATGTTTTTATCAGCTGTTTGGACTCTAATTTCTGACGGCACCCATTCACTGCAGAGGATCCATTGGCGAGTATTTTGATGTAAATTTTTCCAATGAAAAAACAAACTCATCTACATCTTGGATGACTTGAGGGTGAGTAAATTTACAGCAATTTTTCATTTTTGAGTGAACTATTCAAATAATTCAATCATCAGGTGGTTTAAAAGATTAAATGCCTCTTACCTGTCCTGAACTGTCTGTAGGACCCACTCTCAATTACTGAACTGCTGTCCACACTGAGAGCCAACCCACGCTCCCTCCACCTGCAAATACATCACCATTAACAGCCTACATAGTGTCTTTTGTATGGACTACAGAATGATTTCGGACTGCAGCTACATGTTCACTGTCACAGTGAGATGTGGTAAATTATGTGCTTAGACTCACCAGTGAAACACAAAGATAATCACGACAAGAATAAGGGAAGTGATGTCAGTAAGAGTCCACATAAGCCTGTACTCATCCGGTGTCTGTGAGAGACAGAGAGGAAAACCACGGGAAAAAAACAGGATGGACAAATCCCTGAGAACTGTAGATGTGTGTCATTTACCATGAGAAAGAGCGGTCTTTGCAGGTTCTTGAGGATGTGAACGGCATTAGTGGCGACAGAATGAGCCCCTGCGCACCAGGCAAGAGAATACAGCCACGGCTCGCTGATCACATACAGGTTGGTGCTGATGTTAGCAGCAGCGTATTTTCTGTAATCAATAAAAAGTCACACACAATTTATCCCAATGTATGATATATACATATACACTGAACAAAATTATAAACGCAACACTTTTGTTTTTGCCCCCATTTTTCATGAGCTGAACTCAAAGATCTAAGACTTTTTCTATGTACACAAAAGGCCTATTTCTCTCAAATATTGTTCACAAATCTGTCTAAATCTGTGTTAGTGAGCACTTCTCCTTTGCCGAGATAATCCATCCACCTCACAGGTGTGGCATATCAAGATGCTGATTAGACGGCATGATTATTGCACAGGTGTGCCTTAGGCTGACCACAATAAAAGGCCACTCTAAAATGTGCAGTTTTACTGTATTGGGGGGTCCGGGGGGGTCCGAAAACCAGTCAGTATCTGGTGTGACCACCATTTGCCTCACGCAGTGCAACACATCTCCTTCGCATAGAGTTGATCAGGTTGTTGATTGTGGCCTGTGGAATGTTGGTCCACTCCTCTTCAATGGCTGTGCGAAGTTGCTGGATATTGGCAGGAACTGGAACACGCCCCCGCGGTGATACCGGTATTACCGGTGTTGTCACACGTCGATTAACCAATGGGAAAATTTCCTCACCGCCACAACCCTAGTGTGCGATATTGACAAAAAATATATCTCAATATTTTCTGGGTTTTTATCGATAATGATAATTAGTAGGGATGCACCGATACCACTTTTTCCAGTACTCGCCTGATACCGGTACTTTTATTTTTGGTACTTGCCGATACCGAGTACCGATACCAATATTTTC